AAAAAAAAAAAACCCATAATTAGCTAGTAATATATGCTACCCAATGAATCCCACAAGCACTTATCCTCAATGAACACATTGATGTTATCGGTTATTACATTTTACTCTACATAAGGGCTCAAAGCTACAATATATCTAGTGAGATGTTGGAATGTTTTAGAGCAGAGCATGACTATAAAAATCAATGCTGACAACAGAAACACACATTACTTTCCATGCTTTTTTAAATTGTATTCATTTCCAAGACCTTTCCAGTTGTGAAAAACATTTAAATTCCCTTAAATTTACAAGTTTTCCATGACTGGGCGAACCTGCTAATAGGACTGAAGTTCAACCCTATCTATTTACTAAAAGTGTCTCACCGACCATGTTGTCTGTCAAATAATCTGCAACTCACACCAAATCAGGATCAAACAGGCAAAAAAGTAGGTACCTATAAGTAACAATTAGCTTTGTCAGGAAGACCAACCCAATCTCATGAAAAAGCGTATAAATAGTACACCAAATAAAAACGAAAACTCGTGGTATTGATATGCAAAAATGGACTTTGGCGTGTATATGCACACCAAAGTCCATTTTTGCGTATCAATACCACGAGTTTTCGTTTTTATTTGGCGTACTATTTATACGCATTTTCATGAGACCGGGTCGGAGGACATAAAAAACACATCTCTAAAGATATTTATCAACCATTACATGTTTTATATATACTGTCACAATCATAGCCACACAAATGGCTTTTATATCAACAGTTATGCACATTTACACTGACAGTTATGTTTCAGAGCCAATTAAGAACATCTGTCTTAGGAAAAGGAGGCTGATAATTTTTATTCCACACAGACACACACATGCAAGAAGATTTTAGGAGAGTGATTGCACAGTAAAGGCACTAGATTTGTTTTTGTACATAGAGGCAAACTCATGAATATATGCATAAGGAGTCTGTTGCGGAAGTAAAGCCTGTTTGAACACAACCTTCTGAAACATTTTGTCCTCTCAATTCTGGCTATTTCTCTGACAAGCTGTGTTCATTTTAGAGGCGAAAATGGCAGATGATGCAATAATAATTGTTTAGATCTAATACCTTTAGATGCAATGAGATTATGCTAAGATATTTAACAGAAATGTCTTTCTTTCTACAAATGTGCTCTTGATATGGCTATTGACTTTTACAAATGTACAGAAATCTTCTGAAAGTATATTTGCCTATTTTGAACATTTACATCAATGAGACAAATTATTATTCAGCAGTTTGTAAGCATAATGTTCCTCTTAAAGGGATAGTTCACCCAAAAAATGAACATTTTCTATTAATTTACTCACCCTCAGGCCCCTGTAATCCATAGTGTCAAGCAAACGGTCTGGAATGATGTCTGGTTCACAAACGAATCATTCTTTTGAATCAGGTCACCAAATCGGACTGAACCGTCTGAAACAGTTCACGGCTCGAACAGCAGAGATCTATAAGTTACTCAATCAAAAGCCGGTTTTGGCCAACTCATTCAACGTTCCAGTTACTCCAGCAATTCACTGAACTGAAGAAACGGCTCTGACTCGGACCGAAGATGGATGAGACGCTGATTTGCGCAGGCATGAACTGAGCACTTGAATGAAGGGGCAAAAAGCGAGTTTTTATAGTTTATCATTGTTTATGTAAAAAGGTGAGCTGATGAAAACAAGTTTATCCACTATGTATATGCTTTAGACATGTAAAACATCCACGTTTCACATCATTATTGGGTGCTTTAATAGTATAATTGCTTATACATTACGTCATTGTGTGATTATGTAAACAAACTGGTGAATCGTTTATTTGAATCGGTTCATTGAAACGAACTGTCCCAAATAACAAGTTCACAGAAAAGAATCAGGCTTCCTGGTTTGCCTGAGGTTATGGATTACAGGTAATAATGTTTTAAATAACATTAGTTTCTTGCACAGACCAATTATTTTGTTTTGTAAGACCTCAATATATCGTCAGGAGTCACAGGTATTAATTTGTGTTGCCTGATATGATTTTTTTTTACTTTGAAAGTGACAGTAGCCATTAACTTGCATTGCATAAATCGCCAAGGACTACAGGTTTCAGCAAAAACACTTTTTTTTTTTTTTTACTATTCTACTGAAGAAAAAAAGTCACCCTGCATATTGGATGTCCTGCGGTTACGTTATTTTTGGGTGAACTATAATTTTAACATCTGGGAAATCTTATCACAGAAACATTTTGCTTCCATATCAAATGCAGATTCAGTTAGATTTGCTCTGCATTTAAATGCATTTTAATACTGTAAGAACTCCAGAACCCCCATGTTTCTCTTACACAAGAGTATCTCTGTGATTAAGACGCTAGTATTTGCTCACCCCTCCTGATACGATCAATACAACATCAGCAGGACTCCAGCAACTGGATTTCACAGTTTGGACTGTTTCAGAGCAAAATCAACAAAGTCAATGACTTGTAGCAGCTCTGCATATCTGCAGATGCCCTGTGGTGTTAATATGTCACTTAAACATTCATTTTCAGGCCTCAAGGGTTCGATGTATTTCTCTTCATGTCCTTTCTGCTGACAAAGGCAGTGTTAACTGATTAGCACTTTGCCTCACTCGCCCCGATTCATGATGAAGAGTGTTGGGGGGACATGCGCAGCTTTTATTGTCATTTTTATACATTTTTTTATTTATGATTTAATGCCTGATTTACATATGAAAACCAAAAACACTTCAGGGTAATGCTCAGTAATAGCCTTCATTAAAAAGTTATTAATAAAAAATTATATAATTCTTAAGGGATCAGTAATTCATTCTCATTCAGAAATGAATATACATGAGTACATAACTCAAAGCTAGCTGACACAGTTTATTATCCCTTAAACACATTTATAATAATATAATATAATATAATATAATATAATATAATATAATATAATATAATATAATATAATATAATATAATATAATATAATATAATATAATATAATATAATATAATATAATATAATATAATATAATATAATATAATATAATATAATATAATATAATATATAATAATATAATATAATATAATATAATATAATATAATATAATATAATATAATATAATATAATATAATATAATATTTGTGGTGATTTTTGTTTTTTTTTGCATTTGCTGATAATGTTCTTCAAAAATGTTAGTCTCTCACCCTTACGCTGACTTCTTTAACTAAATTGTTTAGTAAAATTACTGTTGTTTTTGTTATTCAGAAATATTTGATTTATATCAGTAATAGGATCAATATATTTGCCATTATTTAGCCATTTGACCTACAGTATAACTGTATCTGATTGACTGACAAACTCTAATAGCTTCATTTAAGAATATATGCTTTTTCATTAATGACTAAGATATAATAATATAATATAATATAATATTTTGCTGCTATCTTTCCTCAAAAAATGTTTTTTGTATTTCAACAACAGTACCAAATCTTCATAAAATAATACATAAATACATAACACCAAATGTAATTTAAAAGTAGTACACAAAGACACCAGGAAATTCATTCATTCCTGAATGAACTATTCCTTTAATGGGAATAATTATGAAGTGAATAACCTTCATAACCTTCACACTGAATAACCAATTGAAATATTAAGCCGCTCTCATAACAAAAAAGTGATTCAAAGTTTGACTTTCAGTAAATATAGAGCCAAGTATTTGTGTTTTTGTCTGTAAGGTCATGGCTCACCATCTAGTTCCTCCACCGAGATGTTGGCGAGCTGTTCGCTGTTGCTGTGTTCAGAGAGTGAGCGACTCAAATAGTTGCCCTTGTACAGCAATCCTGCCGTCACATGGTGGAACGGCATCTTCTCCCTGAGAGAGAGAGATCAGAAGAACAAGCTCAACCAACCAGACCAAAAGACACGGCAATGATTTACACAAATCATACATTGCTGCAGATCTACATTAGACTATGATAGAGCATGCTTAAGTTGATTATATGAAAATGACCATTATTGTCTCCACGGAGGGCTCATCCATCATCACTTTGTACTTTCAATGTTCTGCTGCATTATTAAGTGAAAATCTTGTTGTAAAAGAACATGAAGGCTGTTTCAGTGCATATGAGGATTAAAGCTAATGAAATAAGTAGCCATAAAATGGCAAGCTATTAAAGCTGAAAGCGTTCACTGGCCCTCTGAATTACCCTTGTGTTAGTGAACATATGGGTGGAGTCTCCAGTGTCTGTGAGAGCGCAGTTATTGTTTACAGGTGTTTATTATAGTGCCATTAAAATCCTGCTGACAACTGCAGTTTTCACCTTTAACAACTGCATTTTCTCATATATGAACTAGTGGTCAACTAATATGGGTTGTATAATGGCTGACACCAATAACGAGAAACTAGGGTGAATGATGGACAATATAATGCAGATATATACATAATACATTTTATAAACACTGCCGCTCAAAAGTTTGGGGATGGCAATATTTTTTTAAGTGTGTATTCATAAGTCTCTTATGGTCACCATTGACATACAGTAAAAACAGTAATGTTGTGAAATATTATTACAATTTAAAAATAAATGTTTTCTATTTCTATGAATATAGTTTAAAAATGTAATTTATTCCTGTGATTAAAAGCTGAATTTTCAGCAGCATTATTACAGGCTTTGGTGTCACATGATCCATCAGAAATCATTCTATGTTGATTTGGTGCTCAAGAAACATTTCTTACTTTTATCAATGCTAAAAACAGTTGTGCTGCTTAATATTTTGGTGGAATCTGTGAAAAGAGCATTTATTTGAAACAGAAAAATATTTAGTAACATTGTAAATGTCTTTATTGTCATATTTTATCAAATTAATGTGTCCTCTCTTAATTAAAGTATGAGAATAAAAGCTTTTTTCTTTCAAAAAAAGAAAAAAAGAATCTTACGGACCACAAATTTTCGAATGGTAGCATATAACCAATAAGATGTGTTTTTTTTATTACTCAACTAATTATTAATGTGTTCATTTTACAATAAAAATTGGTAACACTTTGTTTTAGTGTCCTTGTTACATGTTGCATGTACTTACTATAGTAATAACAGTGAATTATGTATAATTACAAGCAGCTAACCCTAAACCAAACCCTAATCCTATAGTAAGTACATGCTGCTAATAAATATTACTCAGTCCTTAACTGTACTGTATAATTGCACTGTAACAAGGACGCCATAAAATAAAGTGCAACCAGAATATCTGAATAAAAAAGATTAATAATTTTGTATCTGAAACTATATATAATGACAATTTCTGCAATTTCTGCAATTTCAGTTATAGGTCGATATGATATTCTCAAAATGGCCACATAATAGACAGTATATTGATCCTAGTATAATATAAACGGAATAATTCTGCATACCCAAAGTAACAGTAATTTTGCTAAACAATTGTATGCGGAGTTCAAGAAGTCAACATAACAATAACTACAAATCAAGCTGGATGTGCTCTTTATGTGGAAATCTCTCATTTCTCAGATGTCATGGTTAGCATGAGCAGAAATTCTCTATTAATTTTTCAGCAAAGTTAAAGCTGTGGGAATCATTTTAATACAATGGTGTCAGATAGAGATGTGAGACGGAGTTTCTCTCAGTAATTGGGCTCTGTGTTGATTAGTATGAAGTGAGTGCCTTTCGAAAACATGAGCTTTAAAAAATGGGTTTGAGTGTCAAAAGCCCACTCAAAATGCACTCCACATCCTGCAGGCCGTTTCACAGATCAAGATGGATTCTGTGCGTACCAAGTACTCCCACAACCAAACCCACTGAAGGCTTTACTGTAGTTTCTGGCTCATGGCCCATATGACAGCCGCCAACCATGCTCTAGCTGTTATTAAAATACATCCAAAATAAATCCTTTCAACAATGTAAAATTGTTTAGATTAGCCTTAGATTTAAAGTGGTAGAGAAAGCACAACTGACCGCAGCGTTTTACTTACAGAAGTTGAGTGTTTCTGTATAAAACTTCACAGTATTTGTTGATATGGGTTTTTCTATATCTGATGCTGATAATAAATTATATCTAGAAAGCAGGGTAGCCAATTAAATGTGGCCATTATGTGGAATCTCCTTTATAACTACTAGGATTGTGGGTGGATTTTTTCCTGTTTCGGCATGACAATGTGTATACTGAAAAAAATAATAAAATAAATATATATATTTTTCAACATTGCTTGAATTCAGTAATTGTATGTCTTATACTTAAATATACATACAGATACACTACTGTTCAAAAGTTTGTACGTTTTTGAAAGAAGTCTCTTATGCTCACCAAGGCTGCATTATATCAAAAATACAGTAAAAAAAAGTAATATTGTGAAATATTATTGCAATCTAAAATAACTATTTTTTTTATTAATATTAGTGCTGTCAATCGATTAAAACAAATTAACGAATTAATCGCACATTTTTTAATCACGATTAATCCCACCTAACATGAAAGTTTTTAAATATACTTTTATATTGCAAAATTTTCACATTCAATCTTCAAATTAATGTAGAAACAACATAAAGAAGTATATATTTTAATATTTGATTAATGGCATATTTTTTATGACTGAAGGCGAGTATCACTGATACCAATAGTACTGATGTCTCTATGAAATTGTATTTCCCCCCCTAATATTTAACCATTGATTATAGCCATTCAGCATTACTGTTATGAGACGAGAGACATGCGGATCCATATGCAAGCTTTTATTTAAGAGACGTGGTTTTAACAGGCATGGGTCAGACAATGGCAAACAGGTATATTGAAGGCAAGGCAAGAGATAAATCCAGGTAGAAGGCAAAGGTCCAGGCAGGGGCAAACAGAGTCAGAAACAGCAAGCAAATGGGTTAATCCAAGATACGTGGCGTGAATCAGAGACCAGGAAAACAGACAAGGCAAGACTAAGACTAGACTAAGAAAACTATGAAAACTTAAACAGGCTTGGTAAGGTAGCTATCCGCTAAACCGGGATAAACGCAAAACAATACACAAGACTAAAACAGAAAACACGGAATGGCTCGGTAAGGCAGCTAACACTTGGCGAGTGAAAAATGCAGAACAATACTCGGCGACTAGAGCAGGATCAGGGTAGGTGTTATATAGTGTGTGTAATAGCATTCAGGTGAGCGTGTAATTGGTTTCAGGTGTGAGTGTAATCAGTGCAATGGAACATGGGAAATGTAGTCCAGGGTGATGTGTAACAGTCTGTGTGGTGCGAGAGTCAAGGGCGACCTCTGGTGGCAAGTGGATGGAAATTCATGGATCGGATTCGTGACAATTACAGTATAATTGAGAGCTATCAATTTTAACATTTATTAGACTTGAAAAAATAACAAATTCTAATTTAAGTGAACAGTTTTGAAAACCACTGCATTTCAGAGACATGTTCTTAAATCTGACTCATATATAACAAATACTTACTTGCATGCACAGTTTTGAGGCAGCTTTAATCGCCTTTTTGGTACCTTCATGACTTAGGCTAACTGACGACATAACTATGACATTGCATGCTAGTAGTTTCTTTCGCACTTTGACATGAAATGATACAGGCTACAGCACGCCGCCACATTTGTGCGTGCAATTGAAGAGCACATGCTACGAGCACAGTATAATGGCTGACAGGACAGGAAAATTAGTTTTTACTGACATATGACCTGAAAGCATCTCATCTGACTGCAGTTCACGGTTGTTCTACTGAAGCTCCCTCATCACATGTAGCTTTTATTTTGCGCTCGTTTGACTAGCGCCTGATGCTGAGGTGAAGTTGGAGTGCGCGTCTGAAAAGTCTCCCATTTAAAGTGATCATAAAGACGTTCTGTGTCTAAATAAACACAATGCTTGTGAGTGGGGTGGCCAACCCTAGCTCCGCATTAATCGCGTAATATATTTTTAACGCATTAAACTGAAAAACTTAATCACACACGTTAACGCGTTAATTTTGACAGCACTAATTAATATATTTTAAAATGAAATTTATTCCTGTGATGCAAAGCTGAATTAAGCTAGCTGAAGCTAGACTACTGTTATAACATGGGTCTTCATCTCATGTGAGTGTACATGATTTTCTCAAAAATGCAATTCATTTATTTATTTGTAAAATACTTTTTAAATGAGTCAGAATTACTAAGTGGACCTTACAAATCTGTCTCTTGTCTGATTTACAGAGATTTACTTATTTACTTCCTTCAGCAGAGCTAAAAGCAGCCCTTCCTTCAGAGTGTGACGCTGCACTGCTGGTGTCCTGTACAGGAACCTAAAGCTCTCATGGGGACAATGTGGTCACCCTGCAGGTTAAATACCAGCACACCGTCAGCAGAGAGCAAGAGAGCGAGAGAAAAGCCACTTGAAGCAGCAGTCAGCATGAAGGGGCAGGAGGTTCCAGATCACAGACTACGCTTTGGGACATGAGCCCACAATCACAGTATGTGCTGGGCTACAGCCAGGTACCAAATCAGAGTAAAACACATACAGCTTGAGTTTGTATTAGCAGTCTGCTAAAGGACATATCCCATGATGGATGGCACACCCTTGTAAAATATGGATGCTGCCTTGGGACAAATGTAGGAAACTGGGGGTTTGCTTTAATGGGGCAGTTGATTGGGATGTGCAAAGCCTTTAATGGGCTGAGAGTAGCTTAAAATATCTCTGGTTCAAGTCCAGAATCTCTCTATCAAATGTAGAGATGTAATTGGCTTAGATTAGAAGCATCTAACACTTGGGCTACAGCATAAAGAGTCCGTAATTAATTTTTAAAAAATTCTTTAAACAATAGAAAGTTCAAAAGAGCAGAATTTATTTTAAATAAAATTTTTTTTGTAAAGTTGTAAAACTCTTTCCTGACACTTTGGATCAATTTAACGTGTCCTTGCGGAATAAAACTATTAATTTCTTGTAAAAAAGAAAATCTTACTGACACTTTAAACTGTAACATAAAATAAAAATGGGCATGTTTTCTATCAAAATATTTTCTTCAGTTGAGTTCTCATTAATCTACCATAAAGTTTAATGTCTGAAATGATTAATAAAAATAAAAGATTATAATTGGTGGAATGTTTCACGCCAATGAATTAATGTCTGTAATTATTTTCGATGTGAAAGCTCATTAATACCAAATATTTTGCTTTTTATTTCTCCATCTTTACAGGGTATTGTCTGAAGGACTATAAAGCACCATATGTCAACACTTTGCACAAGTAGAGCTGAACTGGCCAAATAAATCATTGACCCTGAAAGCGAAAAAGCACAGATGAACTGTTTATGTGGGCAATTTTAATTAAGGTAATTATCACAGTGCCTCCAGGTTCATTAGCATTCAAATCAACTTCTTGTTTTCTAATGGTCCCACTTTGTTGATGGTTGATGCATACTTTGCTGTTTTAAAATAGCTCATGAAATAACTCATAAATCATGCTACACATGCAATACATTTTTTTAACTGGCTAACTACACACATCACAATTATGAATACACATTTTAAATGGTGTAGAAACTTTGTGAGCAAAATTAACTTTGCTGTGTATCCAAACGGTTTCCTATTGACTACATATGACGTTCTACATTGGCGTGTAAAAACAAAAACAATTATGAATCAATTTAATTATTTTAATACATATATTAATAATTATTATATAACATATATTAATAATAATTATTAATAAGTTTGTCTGCAAAAACCTGTAGACACCTAGATTTTAATGTATATATCTGTTTCATTTTATATTATAATTTACTGTTCAAAAGGTTGGGGGTCAGTAAAATAAAAAGAGGAAAAATTCTCACTTTTATTCAGCATTAATTGATTAATTTATTTTTTGTAGTCGTAATAATACAAAGATTACTTCAGTATGTTTTACAAGAAAATACTATTTCAGTCTTTCTTAAAAAAAAAGTAATGTGCAATTCAATGTATTAATTGCCATTACTTTGTAATTAATTGTGACATTTACTAGGTATTTCTGAGAGAAATTAGTTTCTATGCCATTTTTTTCAGTGAAGGACACATTAAATTGATTAAAAGTGTCAGTAAAAACATTTATAATGATACAAAAGATTTATTTCAAATTTGAACTTTCTATTCATCAAAATAATTAAATAATGTACACAAAAAATGTATCACAGCTCCACAAAAATATTAAGTAACTGTTTTCAACATTGATAATAATAAGAAATGTTTCTTGAGCAGCAAATCAGCATATTAGAATGATTTTCTGAAGGATCATGTGACACTGAAGACTGGAGTAATGATGCTAAAATTCAGCTTTGCATCACAGGAATAAATTATATTTTAAAATATATTCAAATAGAAAACAGTTATTTTAAATTGTAATAATATTTGATAATTTTACTGTTTTTTACTGTATTTTTGATCAAATAAATGCAGCCTTGGTCAGCATAAGAGACTTCTTTCAAAAACTAAAAAACTTTAAAAAAAAACATACAGACCCCAAATTTTTGAACGACAGTGTAAATATATATATAAAAAATCAATGTAAAAGTAATGTTGGCCAGTCACAGCACATTTCTCACGATTTTAATGCAGTTCATTTAAATAGTCCTGTGCTGGCATGAAGAATGACTGAATAAAAGTACAAATATTCAATGTAGTCACTAATTTACTTGCATTTATAATGATTATACAGAATTAGATCGCAGTTTTATAGTTAAAGTAACAGATAAATAGTTTTAGGTGCAGTACAGCATGTCACATTATAGGACACTGCTTGTCATGTAATTATCCATTGCAAACAGAGTGTTCTGTTCAGGAGGGATAATGGAGTGTCTGGATATAAAGAGTGTAACTAAGAGATGGAGGCAGAATTGATCAATGTGTTCAACTGAGGGCAAAACTTTCCAATCCAACAGTGCCACATCACATTCTAAGATTCCCAGAAAACAGCAGATGAATTGCAATTAAAATGTCAAAAATACAAGCGTCAAGTGCAGTGCTTCACAAAGTCACTGGAAACAAGTCCATTGTCAAAATGTCATTCCACATCATGTCAAAATAATCTAAACCTCTTACAAAGGCAACCTACGGTTCGAAGGACAGACCCGAGCATAAATACATTTCAAGTTATTAAAATCAATACAAATAAAAATCAAGCCAGTGATCACACACATACCAAAACAGAAGTATCAAAGCAGGACATCTCTCCACCCTCATTAAAACAAAGACATGTTTAACAGTAAAATCAGAGCACATGCAACAAAAAAGCAGTTTGAAACACATTCCCTACATGCCAGAGTGTTAAAGCAGCAAGCTCCCGGGACGGCAGCAGTGATCCCTGTATCTTACCCGTACGGATCATACCCTGCAGGATACTCAAGCACAACAGGCTCTGTCCCAGGACTGCTCGGGATACACGGACCCTCTCCTTCAGACCCCTCCGCCCGGGGGTCCGGATCCAGATCCAGATCGGTGACCTCCATCTGACAGCGCACTCCGACTCAGAGCACAACGGCAGGTTGTCCCACAGAGCCACAGCCTGACTACGTACCAGCTCTGGTCCTCTCCCCGAGCAGCATAAAGTGCCCAGAACCCTGTGGTTAGAATTTCAGCAGCCTGGAGCAGGTAGTCACTCATTCATGCATTCATTCATCCCTTCAGCCAGTCAGCATCTCCCTCATGTCACACTCTGGTGTCATCGGTGGGCTCATAATAACAGTGGCTTGGTTGCATAGTCCTGCCTCTGCAGCTCCGTTGAGAGTGCATACACACACACTGCTGACCAGCCCCCCGGACCGCACCGCCACTCCTGCTCTCTCACACTGCACACGGTCCTCCAGGTTCTCTAGTCATTAGCATGTTTATCACTTTTTTCCCTGAAGGGGGTGTTGGCTGGGCACCACCTGACTTGTCAAATGAGACTAAGGTGAATAATTTGCCCGGAAACTGCCATCTGCGTGCCAGCAATGAATTATGCATAATGTTGTTTGTGTTTTACACAGCTTTTGGGAATAGGGGATTGGGGATTTTTTAAAGGGCAATTTTAAATACATTTTAAAATAAATAAAAAAGATAAGACATCCTTAAAAGTAAAGAGCTATTGCAAGTTATTATTATTATCATCATCATAGACATCCAAAAAACAAAGCAATAATTGCAGCAGTAATAATAATAATAATAATAATAATAATAATAAATTAAAAATAAAATTACATACTTAAAATTAAACATCAAATTAATATTATTATTATTACTATTAAATAAAAATAATAATAATAAATAAATAAATTTTAAAAAATTAGACAAAAAATAAGAGCTCTAGCCTAATAAATAGTACTACGTTTTTGCTGTTGTTGTTTAAATTAATAATAATAATAATAATAATAAAAACTAATACAAATAAAAAGCCATCCTAAAGTTCTGTAGTTTATTATTATTTGCCAATTATTATTATTATTAATAAAAAATTATGATATCATCATCATGTTTTATAATGTTTTAATAGTTTAAACAATGGATGTTTAAAACCAGCAAAAATATTAACTCAATTTATGCACGCTACACCTCCCGTTTCACCGATCAGTCAGTTCAAAGCCATTAAAACAACAGGTGCAAACGTGTAGAAATGCAGGCTGTAGTTTATGAAATCACGCTGCCCATCAAAGCCTTCATGTCACACACTCAAACACAAGCTCTTACCTTTAGTGGTGATGATGGGCGATCTATGAAAGTGATCCCTCAGATCCCGATGGGCTGATGATCCGAGCCGATGCCGCTACAGGATCCAGATTAACCCGCTGCTGATATCTGGATCACAGATGGTCGCTGAATTGTGAGGAAATTCTCCAGATCTCATTCGCGATTATACACACTATTATTTTTAGCCATCGGGTGCGAATAGCAGTGGACAGTGGTCCTTATCCCGATTGTTATCCGAGAAAAAAAAACGTCCTACTTCCAGCCGAAAGCAATAAAACAGTTGGACTTTCCACCAACTCCAATCGGCTCTAATGAGCCCCTGGATTCAGTACTTCCATGATCTTAAGCGAATTCCAGCTCATAATTCCCGACCTTATTGATTCACATCGCAAAAAGCTGCTCATAGATTTTCGACTGCCATACACACACACACACACGAGTCTAAAAAAACAATCAATAAACATCGCTGTCAAATCAGCAGTACAGCTGGATATTGTTCTCCACGAGCTGTTGGTGGGCATTAACGGTCACAAAAAAAGAAATAGCAGGTTCCTATGAGAAAGAAGCAGATAGATTCCTCACAGAGCATGAATTAACCCATTGAACACACTGACTGACTGAGCGCTCGAGTCATTAGTCAGCGGGTCCAACCTACCAGCTCTACTGTCATTCATCCGTAGGTCAGCGGGATCAGGTGGAATCATTAGGGAATATCATATCATTTTTCAGCAATGCCACCTGACTGCTATTTTTACATACAGTGAAAATACTTCTACAATGACTTTCAATCAGACCTAAATCTATCTCTTTTACCATTCATTTTCCCATCGATCCGCCCATCCTTCCATCCATCAGCCTATCTATCCATCTATTAAATCCATCCACCCACCCATCCATCCATTCATCTATCTATCCATCAATCAGCCTGTCCATCCATCCATCATCCATCAGCACACCCATCTATCCATCAGCCCATCCATCCATGCATCAATCCATTAAATCCATCCACCCACCCATCAATCTGTCAGCACATCCATCTCTCTATCAGCCTATCCATCATCCATCCATCCACCCACCTATCCATCCATCATTCCACCTATCAGCTCATCATCCATCCATCCACCCACCCACTCATCCATTCATCCATCCACCTATTCAACCATCCATCTACCCATCCACCCATCCATCCATCCACCTATTAAACCATCCATCTGTCCATCAGCCCATCCATTCATCCTTCCTTCCATCCATCCACCAACCAATCCATCAAACAGCCCCGTCCATCCATCCAATTATCTGAATATTTATGCAAGTAATAATATTTTATAGTTAGACAGTGACAAGTGAAAGACACTTTTATTGTATCAAAATTGAGAGAAATTATGTCATGACAATGCTGATTGGTGAACGACAACACAAGAACACACACAGTCTCAAGCCCTTCACTGGTGACATTCTGAGCTGTGACGTCAAAGGGAGCAGGGGAAAATATAAGTCCATTTCACGCTTTTAAGGGCCCTACAAAAATATTGCACTGGTAAAAAAAGAAAACTTGCTTGCCATTGCTTGATAATAATATAAGGGTTCATTCTGAATGGCCACTTAATATATTTGAACATTTAAGGTGGTTACAGTCCTGATCTTTATCCTAAAATGCCAAAACTGGAGTATTGAAATATTATAATCATCTAATCATATTTATATGAATGATTATATAACTGAACGAAGAGCAAACACATATGAAAAGGGCACCAGCCTCATCACTTGTTTTATGGCAAACAATGAGAAATAAAAGAGTTCAGGTCAGTATATAGAGGATTCAGGTTTTTTTCAAGATAAACCATGCTATATGAATAAAATGTATTGTTATTTTTATTATTTAACATGAAATTATATAAGTTTCTGTGGCTAAAGCAATCTCTCTTTTTCAAAGAGTAGTCAACTGTGCCTGGACAGAACTGTGAAGGAGTGTGTGTGTGTGCGTGCGTGTGTGTGTGTGCGTGCGTGCGTGCGTGTGTGTGTGTGTGTGTGTTTCCTCAACCCTGGAAACTTAATAAGTGCTGATAAGATAAAAGAACAGGAAATGGGTAGAAAATAACACCACCACCATAAACACACAAGAAAAATTTCACTAAGCAGCAAAGCAATCAGCACAATATGAACCCCCCTCCACAGCCCTGTGAAGACTGACAAAGGAGTGAGCCTACTCATTCATCAAAGCACACAGAGATCATGTTTACCAATGAGAATCAAAGAGAGGGCTTCATGATTCTGAGTCACAAACATGATCAAATGAATGGTCAGCCTGAAATGCTTTTTAATGTGCATGCTTGAAAAACACTCTTATACTAAGTCAGATTTTCACAAACCATAAAATCTGACTAAATTTAGTAAGTAAAGCATCTACAAGTAAAGATGAAATCACATTTGGCTTAAAGTTACAATATGACTGAAATAGTGACAGATATTTTATTTAATTATCAAATGATCAAAAATAACAAAAATGACCTGGATAAATCTATCAGTTGTTGATTGGACAGAGGCAGATCTGAATGACAGTTTGCAGTCAGTTATAAGGAAAGGATGGGGTTTTGGATGAAATGATTGGAGAAGTCTGGCATACATCACCAGAGGGAAGTTTGTGATTTATTGACACTTTGATTAAAAATTACAGTAAAAAAATTAAGGTAACATAATCAGTCATTTGGAAAATTAACAGGGGGAATTTCCATTTCATTTCAACTTTAAAAAAGTGTTTACAAAGTGCTTATATTAAATAAAATAGTAAAAACAAAACAAAATAATAACAAAAAATAGAACCAAAATAATAATAAAATACAAAGAGGAAAAAATGATTAAAACAACTAATCAGAAAATAAAATGAAAACAAAAAAGAAAATTAAACAATAAGAAAATAAAATACATAAAACATGGCAGATCATTCTCTTCATAAATGTTACATTTTTCATGTTTATTTGTCCATTGTCTATTGTTAAAAAAGAATATTAAAAAAGTTCACATATATGATTTACCTTTAAAACAACAAAATTACATTTCAGTTTAATTTAATTAGTCTAACAGGTTTAAAGGGGTAGTTCATCCAAAAATCTAAATTCTGAGTTTGTTTCTGAGTTTGTTGACTTCCATAGTATGTTTTTGCATACTGCATAAGGCAACTGTTTGGTTACCAAGATTCTTCAAAATGTCCTTTTTTTGTGCTCAGCAGAAGAAAGAAACTCATACAGGTTTGGAACAACAATTATGAGTTTTGAGTGAACTATCCCTTTAATACTGCACAAGCAAGCAAAGTGGTTCTTCAGAAAATGTTTAGCACCTTTATTTTGTCACAGGAAATACCAAATATGGTCATCAACACAAAAGGACATGCAACAATCAATTAGCATAGAGACATTTTCCTATCCATTGATTGTTCAAAAGATTTCTAAGCCCTGCACGCTCCTTCTTTACAGTGAACATCTTGAGCATGTTGGACCAACATTGGACCACATAACTAACACAATGCAACAGAAACCAACTCATTCGCTCTCATGCACACAGCACACACAGTGATATAATGATGTGATAATTAAAATCCTCCTCATTTCTCGGTCCGCGTGTCCTCTAAATTCTTCCACCAGCTGATTCACACACACAGGGCCTGAATCAGTGACTCACACACACTTTGTGGAGCATGCTGGGATTTTTCTCTAGACATCAGTCACAAGAGGAGCACAGGATAAGCTGACCTCAAAGTTAAGCCTGAACGGAAGCTGACAACCAGCTGATATTGATGACACTTTAAAAATGCACTTTCTCCAAAGCAAGGCTTAAACTTTAACGATATCGTAATCATAAACTGAGAGAACATTTTTAATACTGGATTACCTGTCATATTATGCTGCTGATTCGGGAAACTGCAACTAAAGGTAGAGTTTATTGGAGCTGAAAAATGACTCCCATTATGAAATAAGGAAATCACAATGTTATTCCTGTCAGGCCGGCGGTGAAGATTTACTGAAGCATTAGCCGCTCCAAACAAACTAGCTTTTTACCTGTCTCTGGAAATGTAGTAACTGCAGAGTGATGAGAAGCTTTTTAACCGGT